GCAATAAGCTGGGTTTATTTAAAGACAAAAATAAAAGATCACTTCCAACAAATAAACAAGCCTACGAAATCTAATCCTGACTTCTCAGTGTACTTCTGAAGCGTAATAAATATTTGATGACATTTTAAAAAATACTACTCTCAATTCTATAAGATTTACTGTAAACAGAACTTCATCCAACATGATTGACAGGAGCAGTCAGTTGTTAATTGAAAATAATACATTTTAAGTAAAAAGACAGAAGTGCAGATTTGTTTACCGATACTCTTTGAAGATCGTCCACTGACTGGATTCTTCACCATCTTCCCTGCATAAACCACACTCACAATGGATTGTAAATAATTTCCAGTTTTGGTAATTTTAAAATAGAAAAAGAATCTAAGGGTACAAGCCAGGTGGAGAATTCCTGAAGTCTGTAATGCCCACCCTCCCACTCTCGGTCTTTCATAACTGTTTTACTCACTACTTTACTAAACAGCAACTTCTTTCACAATCTTGTTCAACAGCTGATGTTACTATTGACTGATTCTACATAAGTAAACAGGCGAACTAATGTGATAGGTTTTTGGTAAACATACAAGCCCACTGACAGGAGCAGAGGAGTAGCAGTGCACTGAAGGCAACTTACCAGCTTGGGCAGCCATACGAATGTAGCAGGTGTTACACAAAAACAATGCAGAACGTCATCAATTTGGTGAACTAAACGAACTGGGGCCAAGTGGTTAAGTTCGCGTGCTCCACTTTGGCGGCCCAGGGTTCAGATCCTGGGCACGGACATGGCACCGCTCACTAGGCCATGCTGAGGTGGCGTCCCACATGCCACAACTAGAGGGACCCACAACTAAAATATACAACTATGTACTGGGGGGATTTGGGGAGAAAAAAGCAGGAATGAAAAAAAAGAAGATTGGCAACAGTTGTTAGCTCAGGTGCCAATCTTTTTTAAAAAAAGGAAGCTCCAACTGTATATCCATGTGACAAAATACACTGTCATCATGTCACCTTCTAAGGAAAATTTTTGGTGATGTCCCAGTCTAGGTCAGGTGGCCTTTATAACACGACCTAAGTTACAGGTTGAATTATTTTCAATGCATAGAAATGAAAACTCTAAAGAAGGGTTTCTCAGCCTTGGCACTACTGACATTTTGGGCCAGATAACACTTTATTGTGGGGACTGTCCTGTCCATTGCAGGACGTTTAGCAGTATTCCCTTGCTTCTACCTACTAGAGGCCAGCAGCACTCTCCTCCTGCCCCCCACTGTAAAACCTAAATGTCTCCAGATGTTTCCCACTGCCCCAAAATCACCCAAGAGAGCAAAATTGCACACCTTCCCTCCGCCGCTGAGAATCACTGCTCTAGAGACATCCAAAAAGTACTTAAATAAGCATTTTCTCCTAATCTACAGTGCTTTCTGCTAAAAACGTACCAAACATAAGATTTTATAGGATGTAATATAACCTCTATTTATTTCACTGTTATATTTATAATAGTCTTAGACATTGAACACCTAAATTACAGTTTTTGAGTGATTCCTCAGTCTTATTACTTGACTCTTTCACCTTAAAATGTGCAAATGCTAATCACTTTATTTATCACAAATGTGACAGTGAAGTTACATGTGAGTTTTTAAAATAATTATGTAAGGGGCCGGCCCGGTGGCGCAGCGGTTAAGTTCACACGTTCCGCTTCTCAGGGGCCCGGGGTTCGCCGGTTCGGATCCCGGGTGCGGACATGGCACTGCTTGGCACGCCATGCTGTGGTAGGCATCCCACATATAAATTAGAGGAAGATGGGGACGGATGTTAGCTCAGGGCCAGGCTTCCTCAGCAAAAAGAGGAGGACTGGCAGTAGTTAGCTCAGGGCTAGTCTTCCTCAAAATAAATAAATAATTATGTAAAATCCTTTTGGGTAAGGTACTTTCCTTACTGCCAGCTCTACAGCGATTGAAACAGATTACATTATGCTCTCACACTTAGCAAAACGCAAGTGGTTGAATATATCAAACAAGAATACCTGTATCCTTTGCATTTATTTGCCATAGGATGAGTAAGAAAAATAATGCTATTTTTAACATACACACACACAGACATCTTTGTTCAATGTTTTGTGTATGTGGCTAAGATAAATTTCTTAAAGCAGAATTCCTGGATTAAAGGATATGCACATTTAAAATTTGGATCTGTATCACCAAACAGCCCCAAAGAAAGACAATGCTAAATTTTTATCCCCACAACTGTATGAGTGGATTAAAGACAAAAATGTGAATGGGAAAGGTAGGAAGTTTATAGAGAATATTTTCACGTCCTTGGGGGGAAAAAGTTCTAACTATAAAGAAAAAGACCAATAAATTTGACTACATTAAAATTCAAAACCTATGTGCATCAAAATCCTAAAAACATAAGTCACAGTGTTTGAAAAGATACTGGACATATACACACACGTGCACATGCACACACACGCATATTCCCATCTCCAACAAAGAAGACTAATCATTAAGAAAAGGCAGGCAAACCCCTCCAAAATGGGCAAAAGAATTAGACACAGTTACAGGAAATCTAAGCAGCCAGCAGTCGTAGCAGAGATGAGCTTCATTAGTAATTCAAGTCATCTGGATGACTACGAGATTGGCAGTAATTAAAAAGGTCTACAATACCCAGTGTCGACAAGTCTATGGAGCAATGAAGCAAAAATTTTACTACTTTGAAAAAATTTGGCATTATCTAGTAACATTGAAGAGTAGTACACTCCATGATCTAGTAATTCTACTCCTAAATACACGGCCAGCAATGCATGCTCAAGTGTAACAAGATACATGTACAAGTATACTACAGCACTATTACCTGTCACGGTTAAAAACCTGGAAATGATCCAGTGCACACCAACGGCAGAATGAATAAACACACTGTTATATATTCATACATAACAGCATATACAGAAATGAAAATGAACAAATTATCCTTACAAGCATATTGACGAACGTTATAAACTTGGTTTATAAACATTATGACTTGGTGACTAAAGCAAAAAGCTACTTTTTTCATACCAAAAATACTTACATTTTGATTCTATTTATATAAATCCCAAAACTGAAAAATATTTAGGGATATGAAAATAGGAGGTGAAACCATAAAGAAAAGCAAAGAAATGATTACTATAAAGGACAGGAGAGTGGTCCCCTCTCTGGGGTAGGAAAGGAGTTGTAACTGAGAAAAGATATTTGGGTGGCTTCATCCTATATTTTTCTCTGGATAATGATTACATAAGTATTCATTAGGTAAGTATTTGTGACACTGTACCTGAAAGTTTATTAAATTTTCTGTGTATATTTCACACATTAAAAGGTTATAAAAGGAAAATTTATACAGTTATATAATATGCAATAATCTAGGGGAAAGCAAAAAGAATACACATTTATTTCTGTTTATAAATGCTTAGAACATATCTGAAATAGTACACAATTAATTAGAAAAATAAAGTAAACTAAAGGACCAAAAGTATTATTAGGGTCAAAGAATAATACTTCATAATAATAAAGAGGCCAAGTTTCATCAAGAATACTTAACAATCCTAATGTATATGCACCTAAAAACCACACAAAAATACCTGAAGCAAAAACTGACAAAACTGAAAAGAGAAACAATTCCTGAACTATAGACAGAAATTTCATTATTCTACCTTCAGTATTTAATGGAACAAGTAGACTCAAAATACTAAGTATTTACAAGATTTGAATGATACTATTAACCCACTTTAACCCAACTCACAACTATGACACACTCCATCCAACAACAGAATACAGATTCTAAAGGAATGTGGAACATTCAACAAGACAGACCATATGCTGGGCCATAAGACAAGAAAGAGCAAATTTAATGTAATGATAACATCATACACAGTATAATATCTGATATCAACCAAATTAAATTAGAAATCAATTAAAAGAAAGATATCTAAAAAATTCCCAAACACTTCAAAATTAAACAACATGCTTCTAAATAATTCATGAATCAAAGCAGAAATCGCAAGGGTAATTTTTCTTTTTTGGAGGAAGATTAGCCCTGAGCTACTATCTGCCAAACCTCCTCATTTTGCTGAGGAAGACTGGCCCTGATCTAACATTCGTGCCCATCTTCTTTTACTTTATATGTGGGACGCCTACCACAGCATGGCTTGCCAAGCAGTGCCGTGTCCACACCCGGGATTCGAACTGGCAAACCCTGGGCCACCAAAGCAGAATGTGCACACTTAACCGCTGTGCCACTGGGCCAGCCCCACAAGGGTAATATTTTGAATTGAGTAAAAAATTTGAAGGATGCAGCTTCAGTAGTCACAAAAGGAAATTTACAGGTTTCAAAGAGACGAAAAAAGCAAAGTGTAGAAGATGCTTCAGGATTGAGTTTGTAATCTATTTCGTTCAGTGCTTTATCCTGCCTAGAAGAGTGCCAGGCACACAGCAGCCACACAATATTTGTGCAATGAATGCGTGTGCCAAGGGGTGAAGATACAAATACATGTTTACAATAGATTAAAATATTTCAGGAAGGATACACTAGAAACTGATAACAGATTTTGTTGGGGGATTGGGGTAGGTCCTGAGTGGTAACGACGAGGGATGAAATTTGTAACTTCTATGTGTTATCACATGGTCAAAAAACAACTATAAAATTTTACACGTATATCACAAATATTTGTCAGCACACTATTTCATTATTTTTTCACTTGATCGCTACCTTTCCTGAAGGAGAACGGGAATGACGGTGGTAACTTGCATTTACTAGGCGCCTTTACATGCCTGCTGCCATCCTGCACGACCACCTCCTTCCTCTTCCCACCCTACAGCACACAGCTCTCACTTGCCAGTGTCCTGGACTTCTGGAGCACGTAACTCAGCGAGGAGCTAATTTCCTCTGCATGCTCTCCTCAAGTTTGAAAAACTTTATTAGTTTAAAAGTATTTCCCCCACTAGATGGCACTCTCACTTAATCAACAAAAGACTCACAATTCGGCCCTTTTCCTCAAACTGCAGCAAACTGTCCAATAAGCAAGTCTGTCAAAGAAAAAAGTGAATCATTTCCAGATCTTTCCAAATGCACATGTGGGTCTCACTCCAGACGTACAGTATCAGTCTCTAAGGACGGGGGTGGAGGATGCACGTGTATTTCCAAAACAATACTCCCAACCCCCTACGCTGATTGAAAAAACATCATTAATTAGAACCGAACCTTGTACTCTTAATACAACGAAAGTATTAATTAGCTAGTACTTTTATTAAAGAGAATTATATATATTTATATATAAAACAGTGATTCTCTGCAACAATGCATTTTAGGAGCTACTGACCCTCTCAATACAACAAATATGCAAGACAAAAGAAGAAGAACATCTTGTTAGAGGCATCAGTAAGCCGGCTTTCACATGAGAACGTTCGCTAAACCTAGTGAAGGAAAATGGGGAGACAGGAGACAAAGCCCACAGTCCAGCCAAGGTGAAGAACAGAAGAGGAAACTGCCCCAAATAACAAAGTAGACACAACAAACATATCTGCAGAGTACGTGTGAATTTAAAGCCCCGCTCCCACCACTCTGTTTAGAAACCTGGTGCTGAGTGCTCACACACGCACTTCCTTCCCACCTCCAATAAACTGCAAGCATAAACCAGGCCTCACGTATATTTACAACCCTAACGTCTAGGTCACAGGAAAAACCACAAACCAATAATTTTAAAGTGATTCTGCCACATATTCTATTGGAAAGACTGTGAAAAAAACAAGTATCCTGATACCACTTATTTTGGTAAGAAAGCCAAATGGTAAGATCAGTATGGAGGAGAATTTGGCAACAACTAGTGACACTGCAGATGCATTAACCCCTCGACCCGTCAATCCCACCTCTAGGAATGCAAGATGAAATGACATATGCACAAGAATATTCAATATTCAATAGTATTATTTGTAATAGTAAAAGGATGGAAGAAATTCTCATCAGTGTTAGCCTGTACATTATATTTATCTATACAATGGAGTATTATACAGCCTAAAAAGGAATGAAGAGTATCTCTATATAATGATCCAAAGTGATGGCTAAGACATAATTCTAAATTAAAAAAAAGTACAGAGCAGTGTATAGAGCATGCTTTTACATAACACAAGGGTGAAAATATAAATATATACATATCTAATATTTTTTAAACAAACCAAAAGCCCCCTCAAAAAAGTCATCTATTCACTAAAGGACAGAAGAAATAGAATCACATAATTCTTTTCTTTTCTTTTGTTTTAAAGATTGGCACCTGAGCTAACAACTGTTGCCAATCTTTTTTTCTTTTTTTCCTGCTTTTTCTCCCCAAGTCCCCCCAGTACCTAGTTGTATATTTTAGTTGAAGGTCCTTCTAGCTGTAGCATGTGGGATGCCACCTCAGCATGGCCTGACGAGTGGTGCCATGTCCGTGCCCAGGATCCAAAATGGTGAAGCCCTGGGCCACCGAAGTGGAGCATGCAAACTTAACCAGTGGGCCACGGGGCCGGCCCCACATAATTATTTTCATAGTTAAAGCTAAACAAACAAAAAGAGGCAGCAATTCTCCCAAAATGAAGGAAGAGAAAACAAACAAATCTGATTCTATGTGAAGTTGGTTACATAACCAGACAAGAAAATTATTTTAAGTGACTTTGAAACACAGTATTTAGACCGTACATTTCTCATGAGATATATTCTAGAACAAAAGAAAATATAAAGAAAGTCTAAACTGCATTTAGAAGCCATTGTTAGTAAAGTTGGTAAAAAAATTTTGAAACGATTATAGGTATATTATATGATAAAACAAATAAGCAATTATCTTATGAATCAAGATTTTCTTCACAGAAGAAAAGAGATACAAGAATAAAATTAAGACTTTAAGTAAAAATTCCATAATGTTTAATCGGAAATGTCAGCGTAAACTCATGATTTTTTTATATTAAAAAACAGCTACATCTGTCCACTAAGAAAAACACACAAGCAGTGACAGTCCAGTAATGAGCTCCTAGAACCCAGGGTGTGATCTTTATAGACCATTTTCTAATGAAGGAACCAGGATTCTGTGATTCCAACTTTAGGCAGTACAAGTGACCATAAACTATCTTACAGTACCAGAAAGTAAAGTCTGAATCATAAACATACTTAGATTCTATTTTCTGTCTTTCATTACACTATATGCACCTGTAGTTTAGATATTATATTGAGGATGACCAGGGTTTGTTAAAGGGATACAAGAGGCAAGTTCAAAAATCGGCCAATTTAAACATCCAAAATAGTAACAATAGTTCAAAATATATCAAGTACATTAAAAACCCATGACATTTAGTAATGCTACTAAAAGCAACAACAACAAAACCTTTAGAAAATGCTAGAGAGAGAATTCATTATTCTGAAAATGGAAAAGAAATAGAGAATATCAAGTATTTATCTTATTCTTCCTATATAAATTGTAATTCACAACCAAATATTTGATGAGGGCTATGGAATAATTTCAGCTAACAAATAAAGAATAAATGATACAACTAAAATGCCACAAATTTGCAACTTTTAATGTAGTAATAAATCTAAGGAGTCATTTTCAATGGCTTCTAAAACCATCAGGTCAAAGACTGATAGGGAATTTTCTAATGAATAGATTAGGCTGACAACTCCAAAAGCCACTGATCAATCTCAACATAACAGAAAGAGACAAGCAGACATTAATTTAGAGATATTAAGCAGACATCCCCTGATATGATGCAATAGAAATTAACTACTATCACTGCCCATGAAGTATTCCAGGGAAAAAAATCAACTTGAATTTGTGAAGCCACTATTTCTGGACCTCGTATGTTTGGTTTGAAAGAAATACAAGGCATAGAAAAACACGCTAAATGACACTATGAGGGGGCAATCATCAAAATCCAGAATGTGGAAAATTCTACAGGACAAGTGACCCAGTTTTGTCAAAGAATGGCAAGAAAAAAAAGGGGGGGGGGATGTGAACCCACAGATTACAGATTTTAGACCCGATATCAAAAGCATGATCCATAAAGTAAAAATTGATAAATTGAACTTCATCAAACTTTAAAACTTTTGCTCTGCGAAAGACCCTGTTAAGAGGACTGGCTACAGAGAAGGAGAAAATATTTGCAAACTACACATCCGATAAAGGACTGGCAAAAAGAACTATCAAAGTCAACAACAACAAAAAAGAAACTAGAAAATGAGCAAAAGACACAGACATTTCAGTGAAGACGAGATACAGATGGCAAATAAGTCTATGAAAAGATGTTTAACGTCATTAGCCATTAGGGAAATGCAAATTAAAATCGCAGTGACCTATCACTACACATCTACTGGAACGGCTTAAATAAAAAATAGTGACCATACAAAAGGCTGGCAGGATGGGGATGGATGTTGGCCGCTGAATCACTCATATATTGCTGGTAAGAATATAAAATGGTACAGTCCCTCTGGACAACAGTTTGGCAGTTTCTTATAGAACTAAACACGCAGTTACCATATGACTAGCAATTGTACCCTTGGGCATTTATCAGAGAGAAATGAAGTTTATGTTATGCAAAAAATCTATACACAAATGTTCATACAGCTTTATTTACAACAGCCCCAGACTGGACATCCTTCAAAAGCCAAAAGGTTAAACCAACTGTAGTGCATCCATACCCTGGAATACTACACAAAAATAAGGACAGACCACTGATATGTGTGATAATGTGGATGAATCTCCAAGGAATTACACAAAGTGAAAAAAGCAAATCCCAAAGGTCACATACTGTGTGTGCAATTCCACTTACACAGCATTCCTGAAATAACAAAATTATAGAAATTGAGAACAGATTGGCAGTTGCCAGAGGTCAAGGCTGGGGACTGGAGAATGGGGAGGTGAATGTGGTCATAAAAGAACAACAGGAGGGCTCCTTGCAGTGACGGGCTTGTCCTATATCTTGATGGCATCAACATCAATACCCTGGTTGTGCTACTGCACTATAGCTTCCAAGATGTCATCACTGAGAGAAACTAGATAAAGAGTACAAGGGATCTCTGTACTATTTCTTACGATGCATGTAATAATCTAAAATTATCTCAAAATAAAAAGGTTAATGAAAAAAGATTTATAAAATAAATTAATCAAATGCAATATGTGGACATATCTCAGATCCTGATTTAAACAAATCAAATGTAAAAAAATTCAGGGAAATGTGAACACAGATTAGATATTAAGGAACTATTATTATTTTTTGTAATATGGACATTGCTAATTTTGTTAGGCTCGACAATGGCATAATGAATGCACCTTTTTTTTTTTTAAAGATTGTATTTTATTTTTTTTTCTCCCCAAAGCCTCCCAGTACATAGTTGTATATCCTTCGTTGTGGGTCCTTCTAGTTGTGGCACGTGGGACACTGCCTCACCGTGGTTTGATGAGCAGTGCCATGTCCACGCCTAGGATTCGAACCAACGAAACACTGGGCCGCCTGCAGTGGAGCACGTGAACTTAACCACTCGGTCATGGGGCCAGCCCCATGAATGTACATTTTTAAAAGTGTTATCAGTTACATATAGCAAAAAAAGTTAATAGTAGAAAGATAGATAAACTAAAAATGGTAAAATGTTGAAGCTGAGTGATAGGTACACGAGGTTCACTGAAATACTCATTCTAAATTTTTTACACTGGAAACATTCCCTAATAAAGTGGGTTTTTTAAATTAAAAATAATAAACACAGTGGTCTGCATATGTAATTATCCCAAGTACATGACAAAAACAAATGCAAATTATTTGGGGTAAGACCCCAGGCATCAAAGAATTTTCCACAGATAAAAGTTTCTTGAAAGATATATAGCACAACATCAAGTAGTATTAAATACTCAAATAAGAGGAGAAGATCCAAGATGGCGCCGTGAGTAGTCCTCTTTTTCTCTCCCCCTTCGAGTCTACAATTATTTGGACACTTATCGCTTGACAAAGGATATCCAGACAGCATCTCAGGACGTCTGAGATACCCACGCGACTATACATCGGAAGGCGGA